AGATGGCAGAGGAGGAGGGAGTGAGGAGGAGGACCAGGAGTCGTGGAGGGAGGAAGGAATCCTCAACCTCCGGATACCTGGGTGCTGCACTGGTCGGTGAACGGCAATGGCTGCCGTGCTGCTGATGAGTGCCGTCTCCTCTCTCGCTGCTGCTGCTGCGCTAGTTCGCGCTACTGCTGCCGCTCCCCGGTGCTGCGCTAAGAATAGCGCTGATGCTGCTGCTCCTTTGCCAACTGATACGCACCAGCATTATGCCGGTGGCTCGATCCCTCAAACTGAGGCCGGACCGGTCTTTAGTACCGGTGGGGCAGAGGCCGGCCTCAATGCTGCGAGGCCTGGCCGTGCCCTGAACCGTCGAGATTGACGGTTCAGCCCCAACCGGCGGGCGGCAGCCTCAAGAGCGCCGCCAGGCCCAAACGGTAATGTCGTTTGGGCCTGCCCGTCGGGTCTGGTCCCAAAATGTGGCCTTTACGGCCTGCTGTACCCCAAGTCCGGGCCTTTAGGCCCTACTGTGTCCTCCTGGCCCTAAGTCGGGTCCGGTAGGACCCGTGTGGCGTCAAAGATGTAACACACTCCCCCTCTTAAAAGACCGAGCTACCTGCGAGGGCGGAGTTGTCTGTTCGATACCGGGATGGGTCGAGCGGGACGAACTGCTTCCTTGGCAAAGCGTCGCTTCTCATACTCGGCGAAGGTAAGGGGTGCAGAAGTCTGCAAGTCTGCACTAGAGATCCACCGAGTGTCGTCAGGCGCACATTGCTTGAATGTGACTTTGAACTGCATTGGCTTGTTGCCATACTTGCGGAGCGTGATGACTCGTTCAACTTCCTGATGTCCGTCCATAGAAGGCGGATCCTGTGATCGACGGCCGGGGAACTCGTCGGCAGAAGGTGGCGTGTAGATGGCCAGCTTCGACGCGTGGAAGACCCGGTGCACTGTAATGTGCGGAGAAATGATGACCACAAAGGAAGGACCTGCGGGGTCGTCTCCAACGGCAGAAGTGACTTCCCATGGTCCGAACCATTTCGGAAGGAGTTTGCGCGAAACGTCCTGCTCGAGCGCAAATTCCTCAGAGAGGACCCAAACAAGGTCTCCCTCGCGGAAAGGACATGGAAGTCGACGTCGGTTAGCTTGCTGTTGCATGCGGATTTGAGCCTTTTGCATAGTCGTGCGGGCTTTGATAAGCAAGTCCCGGTACTTCCGAACGGAAGCGGGAGAGCAAGGGACGTCTATGTCGGCGGCCTGTGGCAGAAGGAGATCAGCGAAGATTCGTGCTTTCTCTCCACCATGATGTAGCTCGAATGGTGTGACGCAGATCGCCGGGTGCACCGAAGTGTTATAGGCGAACTCGATGTCGGGAAGCCGGTCAACCCAATCTTTCTGGTTGGGACGGATGAGCGTACGCAACATCATCTGAGCGGTTTGGTGTGCTCGCTCCGTCTGGCCATCCGTCTGCAGGTGCTGAGCCGAGCTCGGCTTCATTGTCGTACCGGACTCAGCCATAAGGGAAGTCCAAAAAGCTGACATGAAGCGAGTATCTCGGTCGCTCACAATGTCTTCCGGAACACCCTGGTTGGTAATCCAACCGGTGTGCAAGAGTCGTGCGAGCTCAGGCGCTGCAGCATTATACTAGCAAGGAAGGAAGCGAGCATACTTGCTCAAACGGTCAACGACCGTGAGAATACCGTCATGGCCATGGCGATCGCGGGGGAACGGGTCTGTCACGTCCATAGCAATGGAGAGGCGCGGTGCCCGAGGAATCGGCAATGGTTTCAGTTCGCCGAAGGGGACTCAAGATCGACCCTTGTTACGGTGGCAAACTGCACATGACTCAATGTACCTCGTGACGTCATGAAGGTCGTCGGGCCAGTGAAAACGCTGGCGGAGGCGTGCTAATGTGCAGTTCACACCAAGGTGTGCCGAAAGTCGTGCGTCGTGGAATTCGCCGAGAAGACGAGTCCATAAGATGCAATCTTGGGGCACAACTAACATGTCCTTTCCTCTCGTGTGAAGGAGAAGGAACCCATCGGAAATCCGATAGTGGCTAGCCGGCGGGTGATCCGATGAAAGCTCCGCGTAAAGCGTAGAGTAAGTCGGATCGGACTTGTAGCCTTTGACGAAATGCGGCTGCAGATCGTCATCGAGGTCGAATGCCATGGTCACAATGGCACAAAAATCAGGCCGTCGTGAGAGGGCGTCCGCAGCTCGATTGGCGAGACCGGGAATGTGGCACGGGTCAAAGTCGAACTGGTCGATGTAATACATCCATCGACCGATCGTGCTAGTGACCGTATCCTGCGTTTTGTAAAAGGTCAACGGATTGTTGTCCGTATTCCATTTAAAACGCCGACGGCCGAGAAGAAAGTGGCACCATCGTTTGAGAACGGTGACGAACGCGAGTAGCTCTTTCTTCCTAGCGTCGTCGAGAGTGTTGACGAGAGGCACCTTTTGGGAGAAATACTCGACCGGATGCCAATTGTCCTCGTGACACTGTTCCAACACTGCACCAATACCGTATCCCGAAGCGTCCGTAGTCACTTGGGTGGGAAGGGTGGGGTCGTATATACGGAGGGCAGGTGCGGCCTGCAATGCTGCCTTCAACGTAGTGAACGCGCCACGGGCTGCGTCGTCGAACTCGAAGGGCACCTTCGGGGACTGAAGTCTCGACAAAGGAGCGGCCACTTTCGAGTATGATTCGACGAATCACTGATAATATCCAGCCAAACCCATGAAAGAGCGTACATCCGTCGTGCAACGGGGTTCCGGCCAATCCACGATGGCTTGGATCTTGTCCGCTAAGGGACGAATGCCTTTCGGCGTGACAAAATGACCCAAGTACTCAAGCT